CCACCTGCCCCCCAGCACCCATGGGTGCCCCCACCACTCACATCCCCCCTCTCTGCTCTTTTCCAGGGTGTTTAAGAAAGCCAGTCCCAACGGGAAGGTAGGTGGGAAATGGGGGGTCCCCACGGAGCAGGGGGGGTGGGGAGAGCTGGTGACCCCAGGGGTGGCCCCCCCAGATCCATCGGGCACAGCCAGGAGGGGGGGGACGTGTCCCCACACCCCAAGGCCAATGGGTGCCAGCTGGGGCTTCACCCAGATGTCCCCCAGGTGCCACCAGGTCTGGAGACACCATCTGGAGGGGTTCCAGGCTTTGCCCTGGTGCCACCAGCTCTGGGGGCATCTGGAGGGGGTGTCACTGGGCAAGACCCATGGGGACAAACCCATGAGATGCCAGCTTGGGGCTTGACCTGGACCCAAAACGTTCCCAAGATGCCAAGTTGCCTCCAGATGCCACCAGGTCTGGAGACACCTGGAGGGGTTCCAGAGGTGCCACCGGCTTTTGGGTGCCACAGGGATGGGGTGACACTTGGGGACCATGGGGCTGATGGACCCCAGCAGGTGGTGACCACACGGAGGGACCCCAGGGACACCTCCCCTGGGCTCTGCTGGCCAGCAGAGCTGGGGACATCCCTGTCCCCCTGTCCCTCCCTGCAGCTCACTGTCTACCTCGGGAAGAGGGACTTTGTGGATCACATCGACGTGGTGGATCCCGTGGGTACGTGGGGCCCGGGGGGGACACGGGGTGGGGGGTTGGGGCTGGGAGCACCTGAGCCTGCACGGGTGGAAGGGGAGGTTCTGGGGACCAGGGACACCCTTGGGAAGTGCCTTGGGGACATCCCCATCCTCTGCATCCAGGTGCTGGTGTGTCCTCTTCACCCTATTGACGTGTCCCCCCAACCCTGTCGTGTCCCTCAACCCTTCTAGTGTGTCCCCTGCTGCCACCTCCCTCTTGGTCCTTGGCCTTCTCCCAACCCAGCTGTGTCCCCCCCTGTCTCTGCCATGTCCCCATGGTGTCCCCTGACCCCTGTTCCCTTGCAGATGGTGTGGTGCTGGTGGATCCCGAGTACCTGAAGGAGCGAAAAGGTAACAGCCCCTGGGGGGGTCCCTCCTGCCTGGGGACACTGAGGTGGCACCATTGCAGGGGACACAGTGTCCCTGCATGGTCCTGGCCCAGCCTTGGCACCTTTGGGTCCTTTGGTGACAATTTCCAGCTCCCTGGGGACAGGGGATCCTGTGGTGGGTGCATCTGTCTGGTCCTTGGGGCCGTGGCCCCATCTCCCCACCGCGGCACCTCCTGGGAGCCACCACTGCTTCCTGGTGCTGGTGGGACTGGGATGAGCTGTGATGTCACCACGCCATGATGTCACCACGCCATGACATCACTGTGCCATGATGTCACCATGCTGTGATGCCCCTACACCACAGTGCCACCAGCCACCACACCATGAAGCCACCATGCCATGATGCCATCACAGCATGACATCCCCATACCATGATACCACTACACCATGATGCCACCATGCCCTATCACCATACCATGATGCCACCACACCATGAAGCCACCATGATGCCACCATGTCATGATCCCTATCGCATGATACCACCACACCATGATGCCACCATGTCATCACATCCCCATACCATGAAGCCAGCATGCCATGATGCCACCATGCCATGACATCCCCATACCATGAAGCCACCATGCCATGATGCCACCATGTCATGACACCACCATGTGATGACATCCCCATAGCATCATATCACCACACCATGAAGCCACCATGCCCTGTCACCATACCATGATGCCCTCATGCCATGAAGCCACCACACCATGAAGCCACCACGATGCCACCACGTCATGACACCCCCATGGCATGATATCACCACACCATGAAGCCACCATGTCATGACACCCCCATGGCATGATATCACCACACCATGAAGCCACCATGTCATGACACCACCATGTCATGACATCATATCACCACACCATGAAGCCACCATGCCCTGTCACCATACCATGACGCCCTCATGCCATGAAGCCACCACACCATGAACCCACCACGATGCCACCATGTCATGACACCCCCATGGCATGATATCACCACACCATGAAGCCACCATGTCATGACACCACCATGTCATGACATCATATCACCACACCATGAAGCCACCATGCCCTGTCACCATACCATGACGCCCTCATGCCATGAAGCCACCACACCATGAAGCCACCACGATGCCACCACGTCATGACACCCCCATGGCATGATATCACCACACCATGAAGCCACCATGCCCTGTCACCATACCATGATGCCCTCATGCCATGAAGCCACCACACCATGAAGCCACCATGCCCTATCACCACACCATGACACCCCCACACCATGACACCGCTGCTACCACCATCACCACCACC